CAGACTATAATCCCTGACCACTGTAACATTATGTACAGACTATAACCCCTGACCAATGTAACATTATGTACAGACTATAATCCCTGACAAATGTAACATTATACTCAGACTATAACCCCTGACCAATGTAACATTATGTACAGACTATAATCCCTGACCACTGTAACATTATTTACAGACTATAACCCCTGACCAATGTAACATTATACTCAGACTATAACCCCGAACCAATGTAACATTATATACTATCTATTACCTCTGATCCATGTAACATGATAAATTATGACCTCTGATCCATGTAAGATTATATACTATTGCCCCTGATCAATATAACATTATATACTGTCTATTACCTCTGATCCATGTAACATGATAAATTATTACCTCTGATCCATATAACACTATATACTATTACCAATGATCCTTGTAACATTATATACTATTACCTCTGATCAATTTAACATTATATACTATTACCTCTGATCCATGTAACATTATATACTATTACCTCTGATCCGTGTAACATTATATACTATTACCTCTGATCCTTGTAACATTATATACTTTTTCCTCTGATCCTTGAAACATGACAAATTATTACCTCTGATCCATGTAACATGATACATTATTACCTCTGATCCATGTAACATAATGAATTATTACCTCTGATCCATGTAACATTATATACTATTACCCCTGATCAACATAACAGCTGCATTCATAGTTCACACTGCTGAACAGTAAAATGTCCATCAAAAAAATTGTGCTAACAACAAAAATGAAAGATTTTTTTCTATACCTTGATAATTTAGCATCCCCAGAGTATTTCATCTCCTCAAATAAATCCTGAAGCTTCATCTTCTCCTCACTCAGCCTGGTAATAGACTTCTCATTCTGACTCTTCAGATCCTCCAGGTGTTTAGTGGTGTTGCCCTGGTTCTCAAACCGATGAACTACCTCCTGTATAAACAAGGATCAGAGGTAATGTTAGTAAAATCAGTATAAACACTAGCGGTCAACAATTATACAAATTGCCAGTATAAACACTAGCTGTCAACAATTATACCAAGTGTGAGTATAAAACACTAGCTGTCAACAATTATACCAAGTGTGAGTATAAACAGTGTCAACAGTTATATAAATCATCAGTATAAATGCTGTCAACAATTATACAAATTGTCAGTATAAACACTAGCTGTCAACAATTATACAAATTGTCAGTATAAACACTAGCTGTCAACAATTATACAAATTGTCATATAAACACTAGCTGTCAACAATTATACAAATTGTCATATAAACACTAGCTGTCAACAATTATATAAATTTCCAGTATAAACACTAGCTGTCAACAATTATACAAATTGTCAGTATAAACACTAGCTGAACATGTTGAGGCACTGGTAGTTTCTGCAATGTGACTAAGTGACTTAACATGTTGAGGCACTGGTAGTTTCTGCAATGTGACTAAGTGACTTAACATGTTGAGGCACTGGTAGTTTCTGCAATGTGACTAAGTGACTTAACATGTTGAGGCACTGGTAGTTTCTGCAATGTGACTAAGTGACTTAACATGTTGAGGCACTGGTAGTTTCTGCAATGTGACTAAGTGACTTAACATGTTGAGGCACTGGTAGTTTCTGCAATGTGACTAAGTGACTTAACATGTTGAGGCACTGGTAGTTTCTGCAATGTGACTAAGTGACTTAACATGTTGAGGCACTGGTAGTTTCTGCAATGTGACTAAGTGACTTAACATGTTGAGGCACTGGTAGTTTCTGCAATGTGACTAAGTGACTTAACATGTTGAGGCACTGGTAGTTTCTGCAATGTGACTAAGTGACTTAACATGTTGAGGCACTGGTAGTTTCTGCAATGTGACTAAGTGACTTAACATGTTGAGGCACTGGTAGTTTCTGCAATGTGACTAAGTGACTTAACATGTTGAGGCACTGGTAGTTTCTGCAATGTGACTAAATGACTTAACATGTTGAGGCACTGGTAGTTTCTGCAATGTGACTAAGTGACTTAACATGTTGAGGCACTGGTAGTTTCTGCAATGTGACTAAATGACTTAACATGTTGAGGCACTGGTAGTTTTTGCAATGTGACTAAATGACTTAACATGTTGAGGCACTGGTAGTTTCTGCAATGTGACTAGGTGACTTAACATGTTGAGGCACTGATAGTTTCTTTAATGTGACTAAATGACTTAACATGTTGAGGCACTGGTAGTTTCTGCAATGTGACTAAGTGACTTAATATTTTGTCAAATACTTGTTAGCCTCTGTGATGTAATTTAGTGACTTACCATGGTGTCAGATACACCAGTAGCCTCCTTGATTTGTCGGAAGGCCTCCTCGTATGATGTGATCTTCTGTTGTTGTTCCTCACCCTGTAGGGCCTGCTTCTCCTGGGGGTTAATATCATCAGCCTGGATGGATCCTCTCTGGGCCTGTAACAAAAAATGTTATAGATATTGAATCTGATGATGGAAACAGAGCCGTGATGTGTATGAAGGATAAAGAACTGTAGGACAGATATAAAACTATGATGAGGAGTGTAAACAAACTTACAATTCTTCGTTCAATTCTCTCGTGCTGTATCTTCTTGTCCTCCGCTTCCTTCTTCATTTTCTGTAGTTCTATCTCACGCTGTTTTCTCTCCGTGTAGACCACTTTCTCATTCTTGGCTAATTCTGCCTGGGCAGCCTCCTTTGAGATTTGGGCATCAGCATGCATGGCCTTGAGTTCTTTAAGTTCACTTCTTGTGCCGCGGATCTCTGCCTCCATGGCATCAAGTATACAAGGAAATTTCTCTGCTTCCTGCACAATAGAATCAAACAAATGCTTTTCTCATTGTTTTTACAAACCTCTATTTTCTTTCAATTTTTTTTTTTTTTTTTAACAAAAACTAGAAAGAGATCTTAACACTTTCAATGACTTGTATTTATTTTGCTTTCGTTAGATCACAAAATAGTTTACAAATGATGATGACTTAAATTTGGTACAAAGTATCATGCATGTATAAATGACACAACACTTAGGCCGATACATTTTAGATGTACATTAATAAATCAAAGTGAATTAAATTACCCTGTCCTGATCATGATCGCCACGTTTGTTAATTTTGTGACAGAAGACTTACTACTTCCAGCTTCTTCTTGATGTCTTCATATATTCGTTTTAGATGGATTGCCTCATCAATCTTTAGACTAGTCTTGTCATAGCTGTTCTCCAAGTACCGCATTGTCTGTAAGATAATCAGTCCAGCATTCACTTAAGTACAAAAAGAAATCTATATCATTGGCTTTTTATTAGAAAATAATTTGCAAACTTTTCTTTGTTTATTTTTCATTGAATCACATACATATTAATGTGATCCCATGTTAACTACAAGTGTCCTACCATCAGGAAGTGTACAGCATTCATATTAAAAGCCGGTTGCTGGCAAAAGTAGCCTGCTATTAGTTAACTTAATCTAACCAAGATTTTTTTTTTAAGAATACATATAAGGTGAACATTATAATATGTGAACATTCAACTAGCTATTCTTTTCAAGTCAACCATCAATTTCAAAACTTAGTTAGAGCACTGATGTATGATATTAACCTGAGCGTCAGCAGACTCGCCCTTGTCTGTAGCGACGGCCTCAGAGCTGTCCTGAACCATCTGTTCATACTTTGTCTGCAACGTCTCCAGTCTCTTCTGCTTGCTGGCCGTTTGGTGTCGCAGGCTGTTGAGGCGCTTAACTGTGTCACACACTTTGTGGTCCATGATTGTGATGGCTTGCTACAGACACAACACACAATCAGTTCAGAGAATTATCAAACAAGACACCATGAATTCTTTACTGCTATACACAAACAAAGATCAATTAAAATATTTCTTTGTAAATTTGCATTTTGTAGAAAAAGACTCAATCTTCATCATCAAATACACATTTTAATAACTACCCCCATAAGGAAATACTTGGTTTGAAACTTTCATTTCTGCTGATAAAACAGCTGAGTCACAGACTGTTACTAACTCACCCTTCCTGTTTTATTTTTCATGGCAGCTTTCTCTACAGGACGATCTCCAAATGCCTTGTTGATAACATGATGATCTTGCTTTGAAAAAAACGGAAAATGAATTGTTACATTGGATATGTTTACTTGCCTGCAGAAGTTATGTTGCATGATTATCATGCATAAAACATTACATAATGATAAATAAACCAATAGCTTCAAGGCATGACAATTTCTGTAGTTAGTTTAAATTTTGGAGAAAAAAAAGTCAACCTACCGACAACGAATCACTGAGCTTCTTCCTCACTTCCTTGTTTTCACGGCGCAGCGTGAGAATACTCTCTCTGTTCTTTTTCATTGCATACTGAGAGGTTTCATAGTAAGCCTTTCGGTCACCCTCTAAAAACAGTCAGTTAATTCAAATAAAATAGAAGGAAATATGTGAAAAAGATACTTTCAAAAATTAACATTCAGATAAAATATACCAACAAGTTAAACAATATTATTACCGTTGTGGCATTTTCACTATTGTGAAATATTTATCTAGGCCAACTTAAATAATCTCTGTAGCAGCCACATAATATGAGGGTAAATCACTGCCTTATTGGCAGACTATCTTTTAACAAGATACAGTATAACCCTGGGATGCACTCGATCACTAGTTTAGCAATGTCGAGCATAGTCATAATCTGACAGTGGCTGGATGGGTGCTAGCACACTGACAATACAAATAAACGTAGCCTATATAGATTGCCACAATGAAGGTAGATATGTTGGCTCATAACCAATATTTCTATGACAGTCATGAAACCATCGCTTAGGCCACTACATTACCTCAACCATTTAAAAAGGTTACACACTGCATGACAGTGGTCCGTTACTGTCAGACTGTGTCATGAGCATTATTTACAATACAAATAAGTAAAAAAGTCTTACCAAGGAGGGCGATCTTGGCCTTCAGCTCATCAATCAGCTCCGTTACAGGACGCTGCAATGCCGAGGTGACAGGCATTTTGGAGAATTCTCTGTGTTTGTCAACAGAAAAATTTACTCCTTAGTTTGCCTTCTGTATGCACTACAACAGTGTTTTGACGTATCCAAGGTGCCCCCAGTCTTGCGCATGCTCTGAAAGGGAGTTAACTCTGATCAGACCGGTAACAGTAGTGGTGACACACCATAATTCCAAAATATCCTACTAGGCCTAGGACAGAAATTTCGACGCGTAATAACTGTGTCAAAGAGTTCCTTATTCCTATATGAAAAATATCATATTAAATACTGAAAACTTAGAAAATATTGATATATAGTAAAAGAAATCATTAAACAAAACAAAAACTATGTGCACCAACTGAATTTTCCTATCAGTATGATCGCATGTACTTGGTGACATACAATACAATAAACTTTATTTAACGTCGGATATTTAAAAACATTTAACATTAGCTATTAAAAGCTATTATTCCGACAAACATAAGAAAAAAGCATCAATTCAAGAAATTACATATATAAAACATTAAGAAACATTAACAGATAAGTCTCCATGCAAAGTTATAAGCTAAATGTATATACATGCATACATATAGCAGGACAGTAATACATATTAGCATAAAACATTGAAGCAAAGCACATACACATAAAAACAGACATTATGAACTACAATTTTCTGCTGTCAGCACTATATATAAAACACAACTATCACAGCTAGACAGGGTGTACTTGTAGTCCCCATGTATCACAGCTATCACAACTAGACAGGCTGCACTTGTAGTCCCCTGTATCACAGCTATCACAGTCAGACAGGGTGTACTTGTAGTCCCCTGTATCACAGCTATCACAGCT